AAACTGGGTTTGTTTGTGGTGACCCGGTCCTGTCCAGGTGTTTGGGTTCTGGCTGTGTAGAGCTAGGCTAGGAGCACCAAGTGAGAGCCAAGTGGACTAAGGCTGCTTAACTGGGAGGCTTCAGCCTGCCATGAGGATGATGACGGGCACTTTCTGTTCCTGGGGGCCCAGACAGGTCCATTCTGCAGCTCCGGTACCTGCCCTTTTGAGAAGCCATGCAGACAGTAATAGGGAAGGAAGGGCTCTGGCTGACCCTGTGGCATATTCAGGAAGCAGCGCTAGAAGCGGGGAGGAGTTATTAATGGAAGGCCCTGAGGCCTGCAGATGACCTGACTGCTGCTGCAGGGTCAGGACTGTCTGACTAGGGCTGGCCAGTGAAGAGAAAGGCTGCCCTGATGGACTGGGCGTGTGGGTCTTGCTCCTGGCTCATGTTTCACTCCTGCCTTTGTGCCCTACCCTGCCTTAGACACAGTGGCTGGCCTTGCTCGCTCCTTAAAGCTCTTCTCTCCCTAGCTTCCAGCACCCCACATTTTCCTCTCGCCTCTGGCCGTGCCTCGTTCCAACCTTCAGGGCCTGGGCCTTGCGCTTGTGCGTGGCTCCCCCAGCCTGCTTTCTGGGACTTCAAGGCTTTTAATCCTAACTATGTTCTGACAGCTACAGCCCAGGCCTCGTCCCTGGACTCGTCTGCTCTCTGCTGTTTAGCCGTCTCCACTATCAGGTCGCAGGGGGCTGTTTTCTGAGAGAGCTCTAAGCTAGCATGTCCCAGGAATCCTTGATTTCACCTAAGTGTCTGTCCTCACCACGACATTTGACGGCAATCTTACCTTCACTGTGTTCAAGCCCCAGACTCAGGGTCCCCTTTAACCGTTCGTTTGTCACAATTAACGTCTGCTACACCGGGAGTCCTGTTTGCTTTACCTTTGCAATTTGTGACTGAAGGTGGTGACATCTCTGGTCCCAGCTACTCTGGAGTTTGAGTCAGGATGGTCTCTTGAGTTCAGGAGTTTGGGGCTGGAGAGACGGCTCAGAGGTTAAGAGCACCGACTGCTCTTCCAGAGGTCCTGAGTTCAATTCCCAGCAACCACATGGTGACTCACAACTGTCCGTGATGAGATCTGGAGCCCTCTTCTGGTGTGCATAGAAGCAGAATGCTGTATACATAATAAATAAATAAAATCTTAAAAAAAAAAAAAAGGGTTCAGGAGTTCAAGTCCAACCTGGACAATCCAGTTGAGACCCTGTCTCAACAAAACTAAATGAATATAGACAGTCCCCAAGAAGCCCCTTATATAGTTTATAACCGTGGTTTTCACCCTTCCTGATGCTGCAGCCTTGTAATACAGGTGACGTTGTGGTGACCCACAGCCATAAAATTATGTCATTGCTACTTCTTAACTGTATTTTGCTGCTGTTATGGATCATAACGTGAGTATCTAATATGCGACCCCGAAAGGGTCACATCCCCCAGGTTGAGAACCCTTGGTTTCTAGTGTAGCTTGTAGTTGAATGTGTGTGTCTAAGCCTATCCATTTTACTGTCTGTAAACACACTGCATGAGCTGGGTACATAGATTGTTGATATAATGACTCTAGGTTCAATTCCTAGTGCTGCCTTCGTTATGTACTTCATATCAGTAATTCTCCAGGATCTATAAAGTCTGTTTCAGACACAGAATAGCCATAGGTATATAGGTGTGTATGTTGTGCTGGCTTTCAGTGAGCCTGCAGAGCCCAGGCCTTCATGCTTCTGTGCGGCTGCTCTATGGTGTGAAAAGGTTTTTCCAGGCCCCTTAGAACATCCAAATCAGTGCCACAGGACTCGTGGGGTAATTGAACCAGGAGGAGGACCGTCTGTCCCTGTATCTGTTTGTGCCCAGGGGTGGGAGAGATTAGTGTCACTGGGAATCAGGGGCACTGGGTCCTTTTTTTTTTTTTTTTCCCCCCCCTGAATTGAGACAAGGCCTCTTTCTATGTAGTCCTGACTACTCTGTAACTCACTATGTAGACCAGGCTGGCCTCAAACTCACAGAGATCCAACATGCCCTTGTTCTCTCCGCCACCCCCCCCCCAAGTGCTGTGATCAAATATGTCCATTACTAGCCTGGTGGCAGTGGCTTTCGAGTTCAGGAAGATGATCTTATTCTTTCCTTCCCCACGGAAGCAGGTGAGGCCTCAAGCTCTGAGGAGGAGCCTCCATCCCCAGAGGACAAAGAAAACCAGGTTCCCAAACGAGCTGGTCCGCACCTGCGCTTTGAGATCAGCAGTGATGATGGCTTCAGTGTGGAGGCCGAGAGCTTGGAGGGTGAGTTGCGGGTAGCGGTAGCAGTAGCAGGGGGGGAAAGTGTTCAGACCTCATTGTGATTGCTCTGGCCCCTCGTTCCAGGGGCATGGAGAACTCTGATTGAGAAAGTGCAAGAGGCTCGAGGGCATGCTCGGCTCAGGCATCTCTCCTTTAGTGGTAAGAGATATCTCCAGGAATGCTGGGAGCAAGGGCAAGGTGGGCCCTCCATGTGATTGCTTTGTCCTCCCCCGTTCTCAGGAATGAGTGGAGCGCGACTTCTGGGCATCCATCACGATGCTGTCATCTTCCTGGCAGAGCAGCTGCCTGGGGCCCAGCGCTGCCAGCACTATAAGTTCCGCTACCACCAGCAGGGAGAGGGTCAGGAGGAGCCCCCCCTGAACCCCCATGGGGCTGCCCGGGCTGAGGTCTATCTCCGGTGAGTGGTTGAGAATTAAGTCTAGAAAGATTGAAACTGAGACACTAGGCAAGTGGAAGAGTAAGCCACAGACTTCATGTCAGAAGAGTGCTGTCTTCAGCCCTACAGCCCTTGGCAGTACTGGCCCAGGACAGAAAATGAGCAGGCGGCATCCGTCTGGAGTGGCTGTGACCTCCCGCCTTCTTCCCTCTTGCAGGAAGTGTACCTTTGATATGTTTAACTTCCTGGCTTCCCAACATCGGGTGCTCCCTGAGGGGGCCGCCTGTGATGAGGAGGAGGATGAGGTGCAGTTCTGGTCCACCAGGTGAGCAGAGC